TTCTGAAAGATATAAAGGTATTTGATCACAAAACTCAATTAAGATTAATATAACCTAAAATTTCATTAGAATAATATGACTAGATCAAATTAGAATAAAATCGTACCGCTATTTCGGATGGATGTTGGCTGGAACAAAATATCTCCAGTTCATCGTCTTCTCTTTTGGGTACAGCGAATGCAGCGTGTGTTTCCAAGTAAAAATGTTCTTGGCCACCTATTCTACATTCTCCTTCTACAATAACATTATTTGGGTCATCGAAAGCCAATTTTACATCGCCTTTTCGTAATGTTTTAGGGAATTGTTTGTAGAACGAATTGTGTTTTATAGCATCTTCAATGGTAATAATGATAGGCTGCAATTCCTCATATTCAACATGCACTTTTCTCGCTGCAGCTTGAGCCGTTGCTTGATCTTCCGCCACGATGGCACCAATCGTCTGGCCTTGACTTATAACTTTCTCTGTGGCGAACAATTCTTCATCGTGAAATATAGGACCGATTGTGTTTTGTTCTGTAGTCAAATCTTTAGCTGAGAAAAATGCAACAACACCTGGTTGTTGTAATGCTTTTTGTGGATCTACTAATTTCAATTTGGCATGAGCTTTTGTGCTCAAAATGAAAGCTAAATACAATTCTCCTTCTACAGAGGGCATGTCGTCGCAATAAATAGCTTCACCGGTGACTTGTTTCAATGCAGACATATGTGGTATGGGTCGCCCAACAGCATCGCTTTTGAGTTGCTTATCACCAACCAATTCGAAATATTGCGCGCTCTTTGGCACCTGACCATGAAATTGGTCAGCGCCACTACTGTAGTACGGCTCAACAATTTCATTTTGTAGATAATCCTGCGACATATGTTTACCGATTGCTAAATATGCTTTTAAAAATAAACTCATCGTCAAAGCCCTTCTGTATAATATGTTACCACCAGGTGCTGATGGATTCAGGGGTAATTCTTCTAAAAGGTATGTGTATGCCTTTTCAAGCATTACTTCATCCCATTTCATGCCGACTAAAGACTGATTAGATTTCGTAGCTATTTTTGTTACTGGAGCCATACCTCCAAATGCCATATTAATATTCTTTATAATATCACTGTTAGCCTCGAACTCCACGTTTATAGCTGCTGTGACAATAGATATATCATCTTCTCGTCGTTTCGCTTGTTTATATGCCTTTACATATTGATATCTAGTTGTGAAAGGTATTTCAATGGACATTAATACCTCATTGGGTTTAACAACATTTCTTCGATAACCAGTGAAAAAGTTTTCATCCATAAGCACAGAACGTCGACCACCTTGTTTACTTAAAAGATTTAATTTAACCTTCATCGACATTAAAATGGGATTCAAATCAGATATTGGACTGCCGGTCATAATGTTTCCACCTATAGCAGCAACGTTGCGTATTTGTTTACCAGCAAACCAGTACAACATATCTTTAATTGTGACTAAAGATCTAGTTTTGTATTGAGGCAACGTTTTAATATAGTTATCGCAAGCGTTTTCTAGATCCATTAGTGTCACAGCTGCTCCTACAATTAGTCCTGTATTAGATTCCTCTATGGAATTAATTTCAGGTACACAATTTGGCATTATTATTACCGGATAGACGAGATGTTTGAATTTCACTTCAACGCCGACCTCTGTGTTGCCGACTACTATTTTTGCTTCGGGATACTGTTCTTTGAGTTTTAAAAGTGTATTTAAATCGGTCGGTCTGTACCATGTTGTGCTTGTACCACGATAGACTAAAAATTGTTCGTCGTATGATGGGAATAGTTTCAATTCTGGAGGGAAAATTGGTTCTTGACTAGAGTCGTATGGCAAGAATGATGATTTATCGAAAATATATTTTGTTTCACTTTTATCTTCAGATGTATCAGTCTTATTTTTACAACATGCCTCGCCCATAGTGCATACTCCATTACTTTTAGATGTTCCATTTACGGTTACACGTTGACTTTCCCAATCTTCTATGAATGTTTTGTAACCTTCTATTATAGCCCGATAACCGGTGCATCTGCACAAATTGCCTTGTAATGCCACTTCCATATCGGAATAATTTATTTTCTCAGAACTTCTAAGTAAAGCGTACATAGACATGACAATGCCTGGTGTGCAAAATCCACACTGGGAGCCGTGTGCTTTGGCTAATCTTTCTTGAACTGCGTGTAACCTTGTTTTTGTCGAACCAATTCCTTCAACGGTGGTGACGGCTAAACCATGCATCGCGCACACTGGCGCCAAACACGCGTTGATCGCTAAATGACTGCGCATGTGAGTTAAAGGTCCTTATTAAAAAAAAACACATTTATGATGATATTTCTAAATACAAATAACAGTGATTCAAAGATACAAGTTTTTACAGTGTTAGTTTTAATATAAAGGTAATAAATATTTCTAGAATTAAAAGGATACATGACTTTTTTCTCTTTTCGGTTGTATTTGGAAACCATGACTGTACATGCCCCACAACCGCCTTCCGCGCAGCCTAGCTTGGTCCCGGTAAGGCGAAGTTTCTTCCGTAGGTACCATAATAGTGTCCATTGTGGGTCCGGATTTGATTCTATTACCTGTGCAAAAGTGATAACAAACTAAGCTTTTGTATACTTATTTTTTTATAACTGTTTGTCGGTAGTAGTAAATAAAGTTAGGTATTAAGTGCAAACTAAGCCTCAATAAGTCTGCTATTTTTTTATAACTGCCTTTTTTATTTACAACAATCTTCAGGCTTTATAGCCCAGATACCTTAGTAAAAGATACACAAAGATTATAATTGGAACTGTGAAATTATTTAACTGAAATATTTTAGAATAGTAGCATTTGTTAATATCACAAAGATAAGAAGTCAGTTTGCGACAAACAAAATACGTAATATAATGACAAGAAGGGCAAAGAGGTCAGTATTGCCAGGGTCGGCAGCCGCAGCAAACATTGGTCCGCTGTAATCAAATCATAAGAGAACTACGCATATAATGATGAAACATTCGTGTACTTGTGTCACCTACACTAAAGCTAGGTTCACACGAGGTCAGAACGCCGAGATAGAACTGTTCTGTTTTGAAATAAAGTTTGCGTTCAAATACCAGTAGTACTGCAATGTTAACTTCTGTGCCTCGTGTGAAACTAGCATAAGAATGAACATAATATCAGCGTTCACTGTTACGCCAATAACGAGTTTTTTTATATCTATTCAATGATAACACATATCGGTAACTCTCTTGTGAAAGCAAAGAAAAACATTTCGCGGTCATCTTACGCTTTTATCTCATACAAGCTGTTTTAAAACCACCTCTGCTTTTTGTCTTCACTGGGTATATCATAGAGATAAGTACAGTCAGGAACCTTCGCCGTGTTTCACTTACAGAAAAATTGTTGCTTGCATTGAGATTCATCAATATAACCAATTAGCAATGAGACGGTTAATATGAAATAGGTAACGATTGCTATAGCTAATCAAAAGTCATTTTGTTCTTTTGTTGAGGAAGAGACCGTTAAGAATTATAAGAAACTATGTAATCGTTACTATCTGTCCTTGACCCGAGAAGCAATTGCGGACCTAATTGCATGATGAGTTAATAAGAAACAGTTATCGAATTACTTGCAAGTTTCGTACTATTTTTATGAAGTTGCACATAATTTTTATACAGTTTTAGAATAAATTCCATAGTCGGTACAAAAAAAATCCTTTAAGCAAGAGTACGCAGACTCCAAAAAAATATTGACAGTTCAAATTCAAACCCGGCCTTCATATCATCCATCTATCAGAATCCTAGTTAAAATAATGATAATAGACACATTGACATAGTATGTAAATAATCACTATGGATATTTGAAAGTTTACAGATTTTATTTTAATAATTAAATTGTGGATACCCTATATTTAACTTTGATAAATCCCTTCATATTTTATAGCTAAAAGTAAACCTGTTTTAATCAGGTTTTGCATATAAAAACATTATCATGTACCATACTTTTTAACCCTAAGAAATAATAGAACTGAATTATAACATTACGTTGTAACCTACATGAGACGAAGCAATTCGTTCTTAATCATTTCATAATATACTCCAAACACTTATATCATGTCTTAATATTAACACGCAAATATCCTAAGATATCGCTTTCCTTGTAACAATTAACTATTTATATAAAATTATATAATTCTTTGATTACTTACCTTCTTTCCGTTCACATAAAAAACTAATTCTGTACACACATCACTCTCCTCATCCGCATTAAGTTGTCCCATATTGTTTAATTTACTAGTTTTTTTTAAAGTTATTCGGAATAAAACTGTCGTCCGACTTCCACAAATGTCCGATTATTACTGACAACCGAGAGAGGGGACGGTCGAGCAATTTGATAACATGTTTCGAGTGCGCCCGCGCACATTACTTGCATCATCAACTTACCAATAATCTAGAAAACAGACTATGCGTGATAAATTAAATATTTGTACAATTATATATGAGTATCTTCTTAATTTCTTTACTCGTCTTTCGTTACTCTATAGATTATTTACTTCAAAGAATTATATACCAGTATTGAGATGTTAAATGCTAGTCGTAGATCGTATTTAAATTTTGTTGTATATATTTATAGTTGTTTGAAAATAGAACGGCTTAATATCGCTTAGGTAATCTTTAATTACATGCTCCATTCATCGAGTTCGAGAATTGCGATTGAGGCAGATTGGCAGACCTCAAATATAGGTTCTACATCACAAATCACCATAGTTTAGTTATTATGTTTGCTACAATTGGATTAAATAGTAAAAGGTTATAAAAAAACATGTTACTATTTCTATCATTACTGTATTATTTTAAGTAATATACATAAGTAACAAAAAGAGAATACGAAACTGAAACAAAATAAAACTTAATTATCTTTAAAAAGTAAACAATATGTAACATCTGACAAATGTTTTTCGTTGTCTTAAATTATTTTATCTGTGGTAATAAAACGAAGATATATAAGTAGAAAATTTTAATCCTTTAATAAAATATTTCCGTAGAGTTAACGTATACAAATATTTTCAGTAATCCTGTTTATTAATATGAACTTAATATATTGTGACGTAGATGTTTTGATGTAACAATTACATAATCTTTCACAACCTTAGAATCTATGGTAGAAATACTAATTGAAGTTACCCGACCGGTTTGTACTCGGGATTTACATTTTAACAAAACCGGTGGCTAGACGATCGTCAACCTTTTGGTCCAACCAGTCAATGTTTTGTGTCATTTTTATTGAAGAACCTTATTTATATTTTACAGTTTATGTCCCTTAGCCACAAAATTTAACAAGATCCTTGCCATATCTAGAACTTCAATGTTACTTTTAACTTTGTATTCCATATATTTTTATAATAAAGATTCATATCGAAATGCGAGTATTTTAAAAGCTTCTTCATAGACTGCTTTTAATCTTTGGTATTTCTTATTAAAAACAGACTGCCTACTAGCACAGATGTTGTAGAATAACACGGCTAGTTTGACGAACTTATGATATACTGAATAAGTTCAATGCACATTAAGAATAGCTCTTAGAAATCTAACTTAATTTTACGTAACGAAGTGATTAGTAAAAATAGCACCAAGATTATTTATGTAATGGGTTTTCATTACCGAAATATCAAAACAAAATGTTGTTATCTCACTTTTTACAAAGAGTACGAGAGGGATGACAATATACTTATATATCAATGTTTCGGTAGTAGAAACCAAAGGTTAGCTGTGTTAAACCGATATATTCCAAGGTTGACCACCCGATTTTATAGTTGGCTTGACCTGAAACAAACAAGTTGACACTTAAGAATCTTATCAATGTTTTAGGCCGAATGGTAAATATATTTAAAAAATTTAAACTGTTATAAATTACATAACAAATAGACAAGTCGTATAAAGCCTAATATATTTTGTATTAACCATTATCCTTGAAGTGTTATTAAAAAGAGAATGTTTAACGCAAAGCACAGAAAAGTCAATGAAATGATACGAGCATGTTTTAAGCTCCAATATAAAGAAAAAAAAAACAGATTAGTCATTTAATACTCTTAAATATAATGGTTTATTTACCGGGATTTATTGTTAATAAAACACACTTGTACAACCTACAAAATAATCATAGTCTTAACCTTCTTTTTGGCAAATGTATCTCACATCTATCAGCTTACTCCAACTATGTAAAAATAAATACCTGTTGTGTAATTTTATCTTCACACGCCATTCTGATCCTTGCACATGTCGCTGGAGCTTCTAAAACGAATTCTGAACATATTCCTTGTTCTTCCCGGTATGCTTTTATAGCCTCTTTAATAGCGAAGAAAACCGAAGCTGCCAAGAAAAGAGGCGGTTCTCCAACAGCCTGGAAATTTAAAACAATTTTAATATCGGTTCAATTGTTTTATTATGTCTTTAGTATTTTCATTGTCCTATCCTGTGTCAAAATGATGCAAAATAATTTTTTGTCTACTAAACGATAACATAGATATTACGATGTTCTTAAATGCCCTTAATATTTACCTTAGAAGAATAAACAGCTCTTGGATTCGGCGCACCTTTTAATAAAGACACATTAAATTCCTTGGGTATGTCAGAAAAACCAGGAATTTTATATGTCCCAGGACCCTTTGTTAACACCTCTCCAGTAGGTGCAAACAACATTTCTTCCAACGTAAAAAATCCATATCCTTGCATAAAAGCACCTTCTATCTGACCTATATCAATGGCTGGATTTAAACTCTCACCTAAATCCATAACAATATCAGTTCTCAACACCTGATGATCACCCGTTAGACAATCAATTATAACTTCAGAACATGCAACACCGTATGTAAAATATTCAAATAGATCACCAGAATTTGTGATTCTGTCATAATTAATTTTTGGCAAAGCATAAAATCCGGTTGCGGATAAGCTAACTCTATCCAAATACGCCGCTAAAACCCAATCCTCCCATTTACCATCCTCATTTAGTCTTCTGTATGGCTCTAATCTTTGTTTTATAGTGTTACAAGCATCAATAATTGCCATACCGTATAGATCTGAACTTATGCTAGCGGCTGTTGCTGAACTGTTGGGAACTTTATCGGTAGCCATCTCACTTATATGTATTTTACTAATATCCACGCCCAGTGCTTTTGAGGCGACTTGAGTCATTTTTGTGAAAAGGCCTTGTCCCATTTCAATTCCACCGATAGATAAAAGAATAGAACCATCGTTATATACAAGTAGTAAAGCACCTCCTTGATTTAAAACATCAGTTTGGAATGATATGCCATATTTTGTTGGAACTAAAGAAATACCTTTCTTTTTCCATCGATTACATCTGGAAATTAAAAAAAACATACATTTTTAAATACCGGCATATTATTTCGTTTTGTTTATCACTATATATTTCATAAATGTTGAGTAATTTTAATACCTATTAAATTCTTCAATTGCAGCTTTTCTTTCATAATAATTAGAAGACTCGATACACTCTTTCCAACATTTCGATAAGGTGCAATAAGTAAGCGCCTGGTTAAAATGTGTGCGATCTCCTTCCTGATACATGTTAAGGTTTACTATTTCTTCATAACCTTTACGTAACGTTGCAGCTACATCTCTTATCATGCACTCGGCTGCAAGCATTGCTTTTGGCGCTCCAAATCCTCGAAATGCAGTATTAGGTGGTAGATTAGTTTTGCATAAATACGCATTAATTTCAATATTTGGTATTATATAACAATTGTCCAAATGGCATAACACCCTCTCGATCATCTGAAATAGTTAAATATATCTTCTAATTATTTTTGTATTATTACGTTTAAAAAAAAGAGTTAGAATGAGAAAAATCTTACAGCACATGATATATCCATACAATTTCCAGCATTGGCATAAACATCGAATATGACACCAGAAATTTTACCGTCATCATTGAAAGCTACTTTATATTTTGTTAGAATTGGATGCCTGTAACCCGTGACTTGCATATCTTCATCCCTATCTAAAACAGCTCTTACAGGCTTCTTTAATTTATATGCAGCTATGGCAACAGGCACAGCTAACACAGCTGCCCTAGTTTCTTTTCCTCCAAATCCACCGCCGACCCTTTTTACTTTAGCGACGACTTTATGATTTGGTATGCGCAGTGTTTCAGATACTGTATGCTGTAATTTAAAATTGAATTTAATAGTACCATTGAAACTTATTAAATAGCACATTAAATTTAAGAAATACATCGCTTACTGCTATTTCAGCTGGGTTTTGAGTAGTTGCTATTATTTCCAACTCATCTTCTTTCCTTACTGCAAATGCTGACATTGTTTCCAAATAAAAATGTTCTTGAGCTGCACTTCTAATATATCCTTCTCGGACGTATTTTGCGTTCTCAATTGCTTGCTTTATATTTCCTTTCGATAGTGTTTTAGGATGTCCGGGAAAGAATGATTCGTGTTTTATTGCGTCTTCAATGGATACAACAGTTGGTTCTAGGGACTCGTATGTCACAGTGACCAATTGCTTAGCTTTCCTCGCCGCACTTTCCGATTTAGCAATAATAGCTCCAATTACACAAGCCCGACTTGTAACAATTTGACTTGAAAATATCTCCTCGTCTTTAAATATGGAACCCATTTTGTTACATTCGTCTGGTAAATCTTTAGCAGAAATAAAAGATACCACCCCAGGTTCTAATAAGGCCTTAGAAGCGTCCACTGTGTTAATTTTTGCAAACGATTTGTCACTGAAAATCAAGCTTAAATACAATTCCCCTTCAATAATAGGCATATCATCACAATAAATAGCTTCCCCAGTAGCTTGCTTTAGAGCAGAAGTATGAATAATTGGTTGACCGACAGTATCGTATGACTTTCTATCATTATTTTTAATTTCGAAACATTGTGAACTTTTCGGCTCTCCACATCGTATTTCTTGTACTCCACAAATTTCAGTCTTAGATGACGTCAGCCCATTTATCAATTTTTGAGACACATAAAGATAAAAACGGAAAAATAAACTAAGACAGAGTGATTTGCGGTATTCAGCCATACCACCCGGTGCGGAATTATCTAATTCCAATTCTCCACTAAGTGACTCAAAAACAACATTTAATAATTGTTTATTCCATTGCATGCCAACAATCTTTTGCGAGGACTTCGTTGCACAAATAGTGGTTGGTGCCATACCACCAAAGCACAGTTTTACTTCTTTGATTAAATTATTGTTTTCTTCCAGAACCACATTAAAAGCTGCTGTAACAATTGATATATCGTCGTCTCTTCTTCTGGCTTGTTTGTATGCTTTAAAGAATTGTTTCTCTTTAGTGAATGGAATTTCAATAGCAGTGACAACTTCATCCTCCTTAAGTGCCACCTTACGGTAACCTTCAAAGAAATTGGTGTCAATTGTGATTTCTCTTTCTTCTCTTAAATAACTTGAAACGTAAAGCTTTGAGGAACTCGCTAAAAATATGGGATTCAAATCGGATATGGGACTTGCTGTTATCACATTGCCTACGATAGTCGCAACGTTTCGAATTTGATTTCCAGCGAACCAATGCAGCATATCTCGTATTGCTTCGAGGATTTCGACATTTCCTTTATTTCTTGAGATCTCTTCGCTTAAGAAATTATTTGTTTCAGTCAAGGAAACAGCTGCACCTATTTTCACGCCAGATTTCGAGGTGACACAAACATTCATTTCTTTTATAAACATAGGAGATATTAAGACAGGATATTTTTTGTTTTTAAACTTCATCTCGATTCCTACTTCTGTATTTCCAGCAATAATTTTACCGTATGTATATTCTTTCTTTAATAATAGTAAATCCTGCAACGACTTTGGTCTTATCCATGTTACGTTTTCTCCTATAAATAATAAATTGTGTTGCGTATAATCGTCTTTGATTTTGAGTTCTGGAGGAAATATCGGTTCCTGTGAGGGACTGTATGGCTGGAATTCTGATGTGTTAAATAGATTTCGATTTTCTGTCTTTTCTTTTGTCTTCAATTTGCAACAATCTTTACCCATGGCGCACGAACTCGGTGTATTTTTAACATAATTTTGCTCCCATCCGTCAGTGAACGTTTTAAAACCTTCAATTATAGGTCTATACCCAGTACACCTGCAAAGGTTCCCTTGCAATGCGGTTTCTAGATCATTATAATCTATTTTGATTTTATTTCTTAATAATGCATACATGGACATTACGATACCAGGAGTGCAAAACCCGCACTGTGATCCATGAGCTTTCGCTATTCTCTCTTGAACTGGATGTAGTCGATCATGTGTAGAACCAATGCCTTCAACTGTGGTGACTGCTAAGCCATGCATTGCGCAAACGGGTGTTAAGCATGCGTTAACAGCGTAATGTCTGGTTGTATATTAAGGAAAAAAATCAGTTACACAAAATACTATAAGAGATGTTACTCATTTCAACAGATGGATGGGTTTATAACAGTCATAATAACCTATACAATTTGTCTTTATTACATTGTTTTATAGTAAATAATTACAAAACAGAGCAAAACTAAAAGGATACTTGATATGATCTTCATTTCGTAAGTACTGGGACACCATGACAGTGCAAGCGCCGCAGCCACCTTCCCCGCAGCCATACTTTGTACCGGTCAAGTGGAGCTTTTTGCGCAAATACCAGAGCAGAGTCCATTCCGGATCGGGGGAGCTTTCTACAACCTGAAAAAAGTTTAGCGGGCCATAGAATACTTTTGCTACACTAATTATATTAAAAGTACATTGTATTGTATTATTATTAAATATTACTTAGTCACAACATGGATAGTGTTTGCCATTACAAATACCAATTTTAAAGCAGTACCTACATTCATTTTAATGTCAATATAAACTGGTATTCGCCCTAGATATACATACAGTACAAGTAATAACAAGATTCTTGTACATACAGAGAGTGCAAATTGCATTTTTTTCTTTCGATAACGAGGATACAGTTATTTTTAAAACTTACATTGTAGTCTAATAGTAATTTATTTGTAATCTACTAATCTTTTTTTTATATTTTACAAACAGGTGTTGTCCCCTATGTCACCATATGTCTAAAAGTTTTCATAATATAAACACACTATAGCTATAAAATAAATGAATGGTGTATTTGGAACCAGGTTGGAATTAAAAAAAAATATTGTAATACCCACCTTATTATTTTGTCACCTATTGTCCAGTAATAATTAATACCGACGGAAGAATTCACTTCTCTTAAGCAGTATACTTTTTGATAAGAAAAGTTAAAATCATTTGACCTATGCGATATTACATTGTAAATATAATTACTTACAATGATACCGGACATAATGTGTTTACCATACGTAGTTGCATTATCCAGTCGAACCGTGATAAGAGTTTTTTGCGATCCCGATGACATCCATATATTAGATATTCGGGTTAGGGACACTTTAGGGATTATCCAGATTTGACTATTTTCATCTTATGACGCATTAAGTAACAACAATGTAGTTTTATATTAAGATCTACCTACTGAGTACATTAACTTAAGCGGTCGCATCGACTTCGACACCGCAAATTTAAACAATATATCAATAATTTGATGTCAAAATCGGTCTAGCCTTCCAAGAAATTACCCGGAATAAACGCGGCGTTGTGGACAGACGAGTTTTAAAAATCGAAAAAATATATATATCATATAATGTATACGATATTCCATGCAGACACTCCAATTTCATTCATATGTATAGATTGGTCATATAAACAACATTTTCTTTACATACTGATAAAGAATATAAATCAATTCAAAAATCAAGATAAATCTTACCTTTTTACCGTTGACAAAAAACACAAGTTCTGTTTGGATCGGCTTGGAGATGATATCTTTCAATTTATCCATTTTTCAATTGAATAATCTTAGCTTAAACTGATTAAATGAACGTTTTACGTGTAGGTACGTAACATGACTAACAGCGCTCGATATCAGCGACGTACTAAATTGTTGATGCTAAATGCGTCGGTATTTTCTCGTTATACCACTTTAAGGCTAGGACACACAAGTTTTATTTTTCATATGATTTATCTTATATACTTTTATCACCCATGTTTCATATTTATTTTTACCTAGTTTTTGCTCGCGACTCGCAAAATTAAAAAAAAAGGATGAAAAACAACTCTTTAGTTCTCTTATATTGCACTCGAAATTATGTTTTATATCTGTGCCAAATTTCAATAAGATGTGTTGAACCCTTGGGGAGATATCGAGTAAATAAGTAAATCCAACGTAGGTATTACAAGGGAACTGTACATTTTTCAGGATCATTGGTAGGGTATATGTTCTTCCAGACTATACTCTATGTCTATTCCAAATTTCATCGAGATCCGTTCAGCCGTTTTGGAGATACCTTCTAACGAACATCCATCCAAGCATTCGCATTTATAATTAGTAAGATTTAAATGATATTCGTGAACATAAGATCTAAATACGCTAATCATAGCGAACTGTTTGCGTGTTATCTTTTTCGTATTTTCTTAATACATATTTTTACGTACTATCATTTTATTGTTTTATTACAAAAAAATCCCAGAACATTTAACAAAACGTGGGCGAGTAAGCGCACGATGCATATCACGCGCGTGTTATGTTATTGAGGACGTGTAGTAAGACGAGATTTTATGTTAATTTTTGGTAGATAATAAATAATATAAATCATTATATACAGCTATTTTTACCTTTATAGTCTTAAAAACTTTAAAGTAAATATATTAAATAGCTGAAGTTAGTGATAGACCTTACCTTTCACATTATTATGTTTGTTCTGCACATAAGATCACACAATAAATACCCTGATATCAAGACCTGGGTATGCAATATATAAACAGTAACAGTATATAAGTTTAAATATTAAAGTATCCATGAATTTTACTCTTTAGAATAGTTTTACATAAAGAGGATTCAATTACAAAGTAGTCCTATTTGAAATCTATGTGATGCAAAATAATAAAATTAATTTTAAAATATCATATTTGTAATTTATTTAAATAACACACATTTACATAATTTATTTTATTGAAAAAAAAAAAGATATTTTTTACAAAAACATACTACATTTCTCTTATTCTAACAACTGAAATTATTTAACTATTTTACAGTATAGTACAATAATATAAATAACATATATTTCTACGCTGATTTCAGAATTCCTTTCTCTTCCATTTCTTTTTCTACACCTGTACCTTCATATCTTATTTTATCTTTTAAAGCAGATTGTAGTAACTGAGCATCAAATTTCTGTTTTGACCAATTGTATCTACAATATGACCAATATACCAATGTGGTTATTGTAAATGCTCCCATTCCTATATGTTGTGATAATAACGGCTTTGAAGTCTTAAAAAAAGATGCTATTCCAACCCCAACACCAGTACTGATTCCATATAGAAAGCTTTCTCGGAAACAAGGAATTGTTGACAAGTCTCGACCAAAGAGAACTAAGCCCTGAAAATAAATTTTAAGGTTAACAAGTGTCAAAGGATTATAAACAGATTTCTTTATGCGACTAAATCTTATTGTTATTCCCTTGGAATGGTAGCTGGAATTAAAATAGAAAATTATCATTAATTTCAATGATTTGTATTTATCCATGCTAAGTAATTTCCAAACTAATTCATAAGGTAAAATTTAAGCTTAACAACAATTTAAAACTACATTATTGATTACATAAATATAACATTTTAACATTATTTTGATAAAATTGAATTTTGTTTCAGTCCTACTGTCTTACCTTCTTTTCCTCTTCAGCATCTTCTTCCATCATACTTTTGACAACAGTATCCATGTTTCTCTTTTAAGTTTTTCTATAATCAATTCAATGTACTTTTTGGTAACAAAAGACGTAAATAAATAAAATAACCTCCAATACAAACGCCTGGTATATTTATTGGAGCAAAAAATCAATGTCAATGTCAAAAAATTTGTAACAACAATTCTCTATAATCCGTGTCTGTCTTTCGGGTGTTGCTATTAAATGAAACACCTCACTCTTTAGAAAATATTGATTGAATTTCCATGATAAATATGTAGGTAAGATATGTTAGTAAATCCTAACTATTCGAGTTAAATCTTTTTTTTTAGCTTAAGTAGATTTTTTAAAATTTTGCATTTTATAAAATGATCGATGTCGACAGGCCGACAGCCAATTTCGATTTTAGTCACAAATGTCAAATGGTTTCATGTCACTTTGACATTTCCTTCTGCAAGAATTTCAGGCTAGGTTTAGGATTCAGTTTTGATGGTTGTGATTAAGGCATTGCAAAAATCTCAGTGAAGAACCCTCAAACTCAAACCTTTCAAGTTAAATTGTGCTTTTTAAAGTATTACAACTATTTCAAACGCTCGTAGAAAGTTGTTTAGTTTACGTGGGCGGTGTTTAGTTAACATTTCGTATTATCTTAGTTTTATTGAGAGCAAAAACTAAAAGAACACCTCGTTTTGTGCGTTTGATTAGTAGTCAGAAATAGTGAGATATGGCTAGCTAGTTGCGAACTGCTTTCAAATATATTGTATGTTAGGTAAGTATCCAATGTTTTTTTAATAGAAGTTGTAAGTTTTATTTATAAATGTTACTATTTCTAGCTCTATGCGGCACTAACTTGTACCTTTTTACTTGTTATTTTTTATAAGGTACTAAGTCTAAGTGTATGTGTTCTTTATACATTATTAATATTTTTAAAACATGCAAACTTTTTGGGAAAAATTAATTAGATTTTTTGCCCATGTAAATTTTAATCTAACTAATGTAGTCCAATTATAACTAATGTAGTAAAAACTGTTGTTGGTAAAAAATCTTCTTATAATTTATCTTTTTTTTTTGGAAAATGTATTAGGAAAAAGAAAAATGTAGACGGAAACTTAACAGGTTCAAATCCATCATTGATTTTTGTCTTGACCTTGATCTTAGGTCACAACCTAATCATTATTAAATAAAATGTTACCTAATTAATTCCAGAAACTATTTACATATAATCCTACCTACATTTTTTTAAATATACTACAAAAAAAAATTATATTTTTTCAAACTTTAATGAGATTTTAATGTTTGCAAATTGTATCATTAAATCAAAAATCTGATGAAAAGGTTACATCTCTTATGTGATCGAAAATCTATGTTAAGTAGAAATGTTTTTGTCATATATGATAATCATGTTTGAGTTATTACTTTTGGTACAATGATCAATGTCAAATGCATCAATAACTTAATAGTTAAGGGTATGGATTTCCAATCACATGGTCAAGGATTTGAATCTCGCCATTCTTCTATTCTCGTAAACCATATCCTGACACAAGCCTAGAGCTTAGTTGTAATGATACAAGACATAATAGTCAATTAACAAAAACCTGCTATTATTTGTAAAAAAAAAAATAGCAATACATCAATTTTATGATAAATTTTTATAATGTTGATTAAATAAATTTCTATCTTAGTAATGTTTTATTCTTATCATAATAAATAATCAAATACTCTGTGACGTGTGATAGCCAGGTGTCCCAGTTCATAATCTTTACTTTATAATCTTTATTAAAAAAAAAATTGAACATGTACCTTCATTAATTAATATAGGAAATAATTTCAAAGAGTAGTTACACAATGTGTTACTACTCTTTGAGCATATATTTTGATCTGTTATTATTTTTGTATGTATATACATAGGATTGCTGTAGTTGATAAATAATTCCCCCATTGTTCAATAAAGTCAATTTGAAGTGGATTCAAGTCTAGAAATAGACATGGCATGCAATAAAAGTTTCAATCGGTTGAGAAACTGACATCTGCAACGCCTCCGCCGCGAGGCCGTAAAGGTTGCCGCCTCAATGTAATTGTAACCAAACTGATGTTTAAACTAACCATTTTTTTTGTTACAATCATACTTGATTGTATTGTCAAACAGAAATTCGTTGTAAGAAATACGCGGTAGTCCTTGATTCAAGCAATGATACTATCAGTCTGTAAAGGAATTAGATTTAAATGTTTAAAATAATTACATTGATGTCATGGTACTTTGATTCCCCACGTGCTAAATAAAATGCCGGGTACGCGCTATAATTGACACGTCGGGTGGAGGGTATTCTGGTTCCTGATGTTTAAAATCAAGTGCTGGATACTAAACTGCTATTATGGAAAACGCAATTAATTGCAATAATAATAATAAATCTTTTTATTCAGACACAGGGTCCATACACAGCAAAAAATACAAATTTAAATTCAGACACAAAAATAAAAACACAAACAAAACTCTTCAGATCACATGTAGACGTGTCCACATGGCCAGCACTGGACAATAATATCATTCAAGATTTTGTTCTGTAAAGCTTTGATACTTTCTCTACTTATTTATGTAACAGCAAAAAATTGTTCTGTAGCCTTCAGTTACCTAATAAATTGGCTTTTTATTTGATTAAGTCGGGAAACTACGTAACAAATTTCGCAAACTTTTGTATAGAAGCATTTTTCCAAGACAAATGGAAACATCATCGTCTTTCACGATTATATTAGCCGTGAGAATTCTTTGAGTTAATTAATTGATGCTACTTTGATATGTTCGTGTCGGTAAAAGTATAGAAGTTGGCGTCATTTGCAACTTTTTCTTTGGATTTCGTTAAAAATTTTGCGTAATTTGAGAGGTCTTTTTTACCATTCAAGATTTTTTAATTAGATAAGAGGATGTCGTAAAATTAAGTAGTGCTTTTTCCTTGTATTACTACAATTTAATCCTGCTTTGTGCATCCGTTGAGTTTATGACTAATAAAGTATCATAAAATATACGAAGGTACAAGTAAAGAAAAAGCGAACCAACAAATTTCGAAAAGCGATCATATGAAATCTATATAATTTACTTTCCTTCTCCAGTAGAAAATAATCATCTTTAGTCGACATTTATTGTATATTTTATATCGGGGCTGTCAATTTTTATCGTTAAAAATAGTTTTGTGAATTACTTAATCTATTATCAAATATTTTTTAATTGAATTAAAATTTTGAT